GCGGCCGGTGTGACCGCTATCGCTCCTCGCGATCTCGCCGATCGACGTTACAGAAGCGCCGGTGGACGCTGCCGAACCAACGCCGAACGACGTTAATTAACCCACGCTAGTATGCGTTCCCGCGTTCTATGTTGCGATGCGCACGATCGGCGATCCGCGCGATTTTTGCGCGTGGAGAACGATTTTTTCACGCCGCCGCCGCCTCTGCTGATATCTGCCGTTCGGAATCAACGCGCGCCGGCCCTTTCGACGCTTTGTATGCAACGGAGAACACTGCGGAAAGAAACTTCAACTTGAAGTTGTAGTACTTTGTAGGAAGATAGCCGATTCTTGCAATAAGCTAATCACATTATGCGCGATTCTATTATTTGTATCCATTTTTTATTCTATAACAATTTTAGATTAACTAAACTAGCTTCTCTGTAATTGTCGAACGTAACAGGGATTATATTTGCAACTTAAAATTATTCATTTAACATCACACATGCTAAATTTTTATAAAATTTATTGTAAGTACACCAGTCATTTATTTTTACGATGAATATTAACAAATATCTATAAATATCCATATGAAAAAATTCTATTAAAAATAATTTAAAATCATGGACAAAAATGATGGAAGATAAGTCTTGTATCACGCAATCTCGGTTTCCTTCCAATTTATTCGAGATTATTAACGATAAAAACATGTAGATTTGGATAAGTGGATCACTCTTGATACGTGTAATTTTCCATCACGCGAGCATATAAGAATCAATCATTCGTGACTTTCCACTATGATCAGAAAGCAATTTTTTTGTTGCGGTAATTATAATGAAATATAGTTGTTACGCACTATAGAATCGATAAGAAGTTTTATAATTAGCATTTCATCACGATACGATATCGTGACTCCTAAGTTAAATAGCATCACGCTACGCAACTCGTCACGTAAAATGTCTAATGACTCGCTGATCCCGGCGTGTCTTCTTCAAACGTGATTTCCTATTAGTGACGCACGATCAATAAAATCCTCGTGACATTCAGCCGATCCCTGCTCGGTCAGAAAGTAGCGGTGAAGCGATCGATCGATCGCGGTGCGATGGTCGGTGTGCAGTTGCATCGCCTCATCGTGGACTCGATCGTCTCGTAACGGCTGGAGCTTAGAGACAGATAGCGCGGCTAAATGTCACTACAAGGTTTGCTTAATCGAGGGATTGGTTCACACGACTCATCCCGTTCCGTTTCCCCGGCCAGCTAACTGGTCTACGAGCGAGCTATTACCGTCACGCGATCCCGGCGGGATCGTTTGACGTCCGGCGGCCGAGGTTGTGCGGTACCGAAAGGGATCGGCGGAGCGCCGAAAAAAAGCAGACACCGGGAAAAGGTTGGTCGTTTCCTCGACTGCAAGTACGGCAAGGTGTCGATCTGTCGCAATATTATGCGTTTAAGAAATATTTTTTTAATCGATTGTTTAGTTAGCTCTGCGCAAAGATCTTTATTTTGATTTCAGATAAAAGGTAGGGCTTAAGTGAGTAAATTTTAGATTAAAAATTTTGAATTAATCGAGTTCCGCCTTTTATTTATTCCCTGCAATGATTAAATATTTTACTACTTCCAAGTCATTGTTGTTTATTAATATTACACTTGTCTATCCGTTATCAAAATGTATCGGTATGCGATATTTCATGCGATTAGCCGACCGACTTTCTTCTCGTGCGATCGCCGAGCGCGGCATCGACGACGTCGACGTGAACGTCGGCGTCCACGAGGAACGACGTACCTGCGGCCGTCGTGTAAAACGTCGAGACGTCATCCGTTTTGACGATTACAAGACCCGAGGATAGTTCCGCGGGTCGGCATGGCGTGCTCGCGCGTGCAATAAGAACGGAACACGATCGGTGAGCCGCCGATCACGCCGATCGCGGGGCGAGTCACCACTCCTACAGGTGACTCACTCACCACTCACTCACTATTCACTGACGCGGTGACGGCGACGGCGTACTTCTTCGCGCGCGAGAAAGAGAAGAAAACGAGGCGCTTCCCACGTCCCGAAACTCTCTCGGTTGCTTTTCAATTCGACCCCGCCCCGGGCGACGTTGTTTCTCGTCGCTCGCTGGACTATAAATCGATCCCGCTGAACAGTAGAATCGCGCTCGCGCGCGTCGATTAGAATCTCCGGATCGCCGCCGGATCCATAATTCGCTGGAGCTCTGGAGCGTCGACTTATCTCTCTCGATTGCGAATGACACAGTCCTGACCTTCGCACTCTATCGTTTCATTTTACTCCAGCCAAAATCAATCATTATCGCCGTGCAAGGAGAAATTGTCCATGGAGAAATTTTGATTATCATTATTAAACAGCTGTAAACTGTGTCTTAATCTCGTATAATTTGTAACGTGTGTTACATTCTGGAAGCAACGCGCACGTCTGTCAAGTTCCAGCTCATAATTGCAGAATTTATTTCCATTAATACGCATGGGTCAGTTTCAATGGTCAATTTAATAATTTTATTTTAAAAAAACACTTTTATAAACTGTAATTTAACGTCCGAGCTTCTCATTACAATACGTGGTAATTAATTTTTTTGTCACGCAGAAAAAAGCAGAAAATAGCGAGATTAGCGCGAGGAGATGAAGCGCGATCCTCCCTCGTTTCCGTACCATCGATTGTCATTCATAATTTATTAAGGGATTCACGGTAAGCGGTCAAGGACCTCGCGCTTCTCAGGGCCGTGAAAGTTCCTTGAGAGCTCAGACCTGAGAGAGGTGCATCATGAGAAACTCAAATGGGATCGTTGTAGATGCGATCCTATCGATTCGACGGCTACCGCACCGCCGCGTCGTTCTATCTTCTCGGCAAGCGAAAGGATTCTAGCATTAATAATGATCTAAGAATACTGGGACGAAATCATACGTATCACCGTAATCGATCTCACCTTTATCATCTCCGACTAAGATGGCAGACTTTCTCATTTTTTTTAGAACACTGCCGTTCGTCGCATCCTAAAGAAATTGACATTGCATTTTTGCAATTTATCAGGGTTGCAACATTTCTGCCGATACAATCGGAAAATTAATAACATTACTTACTGAATTTCTATAGGATCGAAACCTTGCTCAAAAGGCGATTACGTTCATCGGCATGCCATAAATCTCGCGATTAGAATTACACTGTTATTACATTAATCATCCTTACTTAATCCCGAGTATTCCCGTATCGGCGAATTATCGTAATCCGCGATTCTCGAACGATAAACGTTTAATTGCCGACGTATAGTCCAAGCATTGTAATACGTATATCAGAAGTGGAACTCCGTCCGCCTGCGATCGCGCGAACTTTCCGACCAACATCAGCCGGCCGATCTCACGATCTTACCGGGCGATTGTCAAGACACGATCGACCTTGGTTAAAGGCAGGTATAACGTTATGCGGCAACCGGCGTGGAGTTAGGAATCCCGTAATCCGCGGCATCTTTACCTCCGAAGGCCCGGGGGATGGCGTTATCCCTGAATCTTCGACGGCGGCGATGCAGGCGCTAACAAACCGCGCGCAAGTAAAACGAACGTGCGCCTTAAAGTCGATAAGTGCCTGCGTTTCACGTAAGTGTGTACCGCGAAATGATCAGTAGTACGTAATTTTTGGGATACGTTTCGTGTGATTTATCCGACGTAAAATTGCGCGTACGTGCTTGCTTGCAGACTCTATTGCAGTAATATGACATTTAGAAAAAAATATTCTTTTAGTAATATTTAAAATTTTGGACCGCGTAGAGATGAAAGAATTAATTAAACTTTTATCAAAATTTCTTTTTCATATCACAATTCTGTAATAGAATATTGCAATTATATCGCAATAACTTTATATATTTGAGTGAAATCGCTCTTGAAGTTACATTACTTTGACGCACTTCTTCGGCAATTACTGTTACAATATTCTTCCTGTTTCGCACGCATGTAACATATTATTTTACCTTGCGACACGGCGAACAAATCACGGCATCCCGCCGAGCCGGCGAGACAGTCTCCGAGAAGCGCGCGCGGAAGTTCCACGAAGCCGAAGACAAAAGGAGCGCCCGCGTTGCGTCGCGAGCAAACCGCGCGCATGTCAATGCTCCGGCAATTAAACCTTGTTTGGCGTGAACGCCATGCCGTTTCGTTGCGCTCGTACTTTCCGCTCGGCCTACCTGTCCGCCTCGCCAACTGCGAAAGTACTCGTAGAAGCGCCGCGCTGATTTATTTCCGCGGCCTCTAAACGACCGCTCGCTTTTTTCACGAGGATCAGCGCATACCTGCCTGCTTGCCTACCTCGTCACGATGAGCCGTCAACCGTTTGTCGTCGTTGTGTTCGCGGTAGCCGCAAAGCTTCTTACACGAGCCGCGAGCAAACTAGAGCAGCGTTTTTCCGCTGGAATGAAATTCCGGAAAAGATGGTTTTTTTTGCGTATCAACTTGACCGATGCGACCGCCTACGATACAGAGAGTGATTGCGACGCACTGTCGACACTGATCGATGCGCGATGTTCTAAATCGATTCGCGTCTCGAAATGGTTCGACGCCGACTTGTTGATCGATAGCGACAGTCAAACAGAATATCAATAAATTTCGTTGATCGCGCATAATTACAGGGAATACGCATTCATTTGCATGGCGAGGTTATCAGATCGCTGCCGGCAGGGATGAGCGACGTGCGTTATATCCCGTCGTAATTACCGCGCGATGCTTAATTGGTAATTAGCCGGTGATATTTCGCTCTATGAGTAATTAATAATAATTTATTAATAACCGTGAAAGGGAGAGAGGAAAGGTGGAACGTGAAGCATTAAATCCGCGGATGATCGTCCGCGGAGGAGAGTGAAAGAGGATCTACGAGGATCGCTACAGTCACTTACCTGTTATCCGTGAGAGTGTCCGGAGGCAGGCGCGTACAAAATTTCTCGCGCGGTCTCGAGAGCAGCTGGCAGATGAGCGGCTCTCAGGTGCTCGAAATTAAATTAACATCATTAAATTCTTTTCCGCAGGGTTGCGACTCCGTTACGCGGACGATGGGGCAATAATGGACCGGATCGCCGACGGAGCGCCAGCGGAGAGAAGACAGTTTCACGCAGCACGCAAATTACAAATAAATACAAAGCGAGCGTGCGTCGCGAAGCGGAGCGGATACCACGCATACGTCGTTGGAGAGCAGTGAGTATGGTCCCGGTCATTAGTTGCAATTAACCATGACGACCGTGGCATTCCCCGCGGATTTATGTACTAATTACGCTAATTAATTTATCCGCTGCGCCGGTGAACGCGTTCGCATGGACCTGCTTCTTGCGCTCTCTGACATATATCGGTCGCGATGCGCGCGACTCGCATTCTTCGCGTTGCATAAACGCGGAGTATGCGTAGCGCGCGCGATTGCCTTAATTACGATATGTAATTAGAGAAATCTAGTTGACGTATATTAGAGCACTTTCACGACTTGTGACACTCTGCGCTCTTTTCGCGACGAAGAGTCGGTACTTCACTGGAGACGTGACGCAGTTCCACGTATAGATGCTTCTCGGCTTACGCAAAAATTCATTATACTAACGAAAATTTTATGGAGAGATTAAAAAGTATAAGGTTTTTGCTTGCCGTCGCCATTTTTTCACTTTTCAAAATTTATTGAATAATAAAAATTATTGTTTATGGCCTCAGAAAATATTTATGCAATTATGCAGAAAACAATTACAGATTGCATAAATAAATCTGTTCGGTACTATAATTAATCTTATTGCAATGAAATTAGAAGTAAAATGGACTTGCGTAAATAATTGCGAAAATAAAATTTTAAATAGATCGGGAATCACATAATTGCGTAATTGCCGACTTACATTATATTATCAATCTACGGTTCGCGGAACTCGCCACTCGTTTCTCATCTTCTCTAGTGCCTGACTTGATCGAGGTTTCGCCCTCGCGGCTTTCTCACAGTACTTGAGATCCGCGCAGATTCGTTCCGCAAGTCAATGCCGAAAGGCGTCCTCACGGTGCGTGACTCGGATCGTGCCGGTATTATTATTGTTCGTACAAGCGATGTACACGCGTGTCACGCGTGCGATTAGAATTTCCTTGTTAACTCGAGCCCTTTAGGCCCGCCTGTGAGGCCGAACGGCGTACCGGCACGGCCCGGTGTATCCGGCACGACGCGCACGGTGCTCTCCGCGGAAAATACAATTATTCCGTTGCGTGGACAAAAATGTCCGAAGGTGAAAGCGGTCATGCGACTCGTCGTGCCATCGACTACGCTCCGAATTGCTCCAGTAATTGAAGACGCAGTTTCTCACCGGCATTCGTGGCACGCTTGTCCGCAAGAGGACTTACAGGTCATTGAAATTAAGCCTCTCCCCCTCCTTCAAGTTTCGATGACCCGAATCGTTCAAGTGAAGTATCCCGGGCATCGATAATTCACTGCCGTCAGAACGTGTGTGTCTTCTTCACTCGCTATAGATGTGTCTGAATACAAGAAAAGGATATGAAATTTATTTTTTCGTCTGTAGCTTAATTTCGAAGCTAATAATATTTAATTGCGAGTGAGAAAAGATTAATGTTCCGCATGTGACATGTAACGTTTTCTCTTCGGAAGTTTTTAATCGCAGAACGCAATGTTGTTCTCATTCTATTTACGGAATTAAATTATTCGACACATTCTTTATTTATTTATAGAAACGTTTAGAACTAATAAATTCGACTTTAAAACGTAAACGTTGAATGTGCTAAATATCGTATTTAAACTTAAGTATCAGTGTTTATTTTCACTTGGACGCATAATGTGTTTGTTTTTATCGCGCAATGTGCAAGGTGTTCATTTTAAGATAATTCGCATGTTGTTTGCAAATCACTGAAAAAAAAGTCACGAGAAACACCTCATTATTCTTATCCCGTTGGGTGTAAAGACCTGCCGCAACGTGGCATCTATAGAAGGCGTTGCTGATAGATAGGATGACGTGAGTCATGGTCTCTAATTAATGAATTTGTTACGAGCGTAGCAATTTGTGCGGTATTCGTCGTACGCTGCCTTCGTTTAGCATAGTGAACGATCGACGTGCCTGTATGCAGGCAATACGGGATAAATTCAACGAACGGCGCGTGAGAGAGAGAGAAAGAGAGAGAGAGAGAGAGAGACAATTCGATCGTTCAACGGGTTCTCCAAGACTGAGGAAATCTTAAGCGTCGCAGGTTTTCCGCAATCGAGGGAAATATTATTCGAGGCGGTCGCGTGTTATTGTTTTTCCTCGACCGAATACGCAAGGAATCTTGTATATTTCCTGGATGAAATATAAATATCGAATTTACGAGCAGATCGACCGTGTGAACGCTCGACGATGTGGCGTTCGCTTCTAAGGACTATTATTGTTTAACGGTTCAACGCCGGCAGGCATACGATGTATCGTGACACGCCGCTATCCGGGTCGAAAGCACAGATAATTTTGCGGGATCCCTAATTACGTTATATCTCGCAATAAAAGTCATTCGGAGCGACGAGGATTAAGATTACTGAACGGCGGCGGGCATAAAAAGACGCGACAGCCTGCAAAGCGGCTTTAAACGGCTACAACGATACATTCTCGCCACGATGTGAGCTCCAGCATTCGTTTTAATAATAACGCGAGTACTGTTACATAATCCGAAACTCTCCGTGGATTCTCCTGTCTCCGTAATGACGCACGAGCGGCCTCGATGAAATCACGAAAACAGATACCTGCCTCGATTCGGCAAATCAATAACACCTTTTTTTTTTAATGCATTATTAAATATCCTTTGCCGCGCACATGGCGCGCATTTTTGGACCCCGGCGCTCATCGGGAGCGCATTACGGCACTTCGCGATCCAGTTTATTTTTTTGCGCGGTCGAAACTTAATGAACAATCAACCGATAACTAGCTTCCGGGTGCGAAAGTGGGGACCGTGATGAAATTGCGAACGTTTCAGTCGCGATGAAGCATGCAATTCTTCGAAAATCCTTTTGCTGTTATCCGTGTGACGATCGGCTCTCGATCAACTCGCAGATTAAATGCTTCTCGCATCGCCTCGATCGTCCGCTTATTTCATCTCATAATATATATTTGGTGACTCATCGGCCGATCCGATACCGGAACTTGGCGAAACGCGTACCCTCGATGACGACTGTTTCTGCGCGCGAAGCCGCATCCTTGAACCTCGTCTACGCTAATGCACAATGCACGTAGTCGCGCTTATTTGCTGAGTGTAGTCGATCGATCTTCCCCGACAAGATCGATCGGCCTCGCGAGGACCGGTCGCCGGCGCTGTTCGTTAAACGGCCAGCTGCTCGTTCATCGTATCGATTTAGACGATCATTGATTTTCGTCGCGGCGGCTGCCGCTCGATTTCAAGCGCGAACGTAACACGATCCTTCGCACACCGGCCGTGAAACTAGAAGCGGCCGATGGCGAAATGACAAGACGGAGCGAGATAGAAGAGGAAGAGGCATTATCGAGTGCAAGAGCCGATGGAGAGCCGCGGCTCGTAAGCATCGCGTAACGACTTAAACGCCATCCGTAATCACATTGTTTGCCGGTAATTGTGCATTAATAGATGAGAACTGGGTCTCCCGCGACTGCAGGGCTACGGCGATCTTTTAACCCGCCTTCACCTTGCGTAATCGCATCGCGCCGGTCGCGACCGGTCGAAAATATCGGACGCGCTGCCGTCGCCGTCGCTCGTTCATCGCCGCACGTTCGTTCGCGGATTCCACGCTCGTAATCGCCTCCGGGCGCCTCGGAATAGTTCTCTTCTACTTTATACTCTAAGAGCCGTGTATTATGCGTTCTTTTTTACAACCACGTTCACGCGATACTGTGTCGATGCCCGTACCATCCTTAATTCAGGCTACGGTCGCCGCTTCCGCTTACGAATGCCGTCCGCGACCGTCCTCACAAATTACTTCTTTTAAATTTGCTAATCCTCCTCGATCTCAATACGTATTATATAACTTGGCGAATTGAGAAAAAAATCCTCACACTCGTCGTTACTCCGTTTATAATCCTCGCGCGCTTTTATGCGCTACATAATGTTTACAAACTGCACAGCGCTTGATGAATTTATTCACGTCTCGTAATAACGAATAAAACTTGAAGATTAAGTAACCTCCAACAGAACGGATGATTTTGACATCTATATTTCATCTACATTACGCGCGACAACTCTATGAACACGTCAATCTCTATTTGTCAGCGGCATTCATCCATCAATATCCAACTCGCGGGAGTAAAGGGCTCGCGTATAGAACGTCGGTCGCAGATTATCTCTCGGCGATTAGTCTTCGCGCGATACAATGACGACTGAGTCAGTTGGCGTAATGCGCGCCTGCCATGCTTTTACGTATTTGTCGATAACAGAACGTACGCCTCGGCTGCCGAGCGTGATGAATATGTAAAAGCCGGTGGGTAATCATCATCTTCGCCGTGATGAGTGCCATTCGAGAGAAGAGCATACGATTTTTAACGCGCATATAGGCGCTCTCGGGAGCGATTACGCGGCGCAGCAACTATCTCTGCCGGCTCTCGACGTCGAGCGTTCGCCGCGCGCATCAGTATTGGTAATGAGCAATAAACGCTTCGTCTTGTGAACTAATCGATCGGGAATCGGCGCAACAAAGATCACGCATCGCCGCGAGCTATGGTCGCTCGCGTATGCATAAGTGTTTTTTTTTCTTTTCCGGACTTTCGAAAATATTGACAGCGAGAAAAAAAATTGGCAACGCGACGCGATCCTGTTGCCGTTGTCGACGAGATTGTCGGACAACGTTAATTGACGCGATCTACAGATCCTACCTATCGACTCCTGCGCCGCGGATCCTGACTCGGGCGGCGAGAGAAAAAAAAGGAAGGATAGTCTGAAAGTCGTAGGAGTGAATCGCATATCGAATGAAAACGTTGTCGGATGGTAATAAAACGAATGTCGTCATCCGACGATCTCGCCCGTCTGTGCCGTGTCGTGGCTAGACCCGCGTGTGTACGCGATCGGCGCAACGTGTAACGGTCACTGGATGCGCGCGTTCCCCTGGACCATTCTAATATCAAGGACACCGAGACCCACGGTGTGATGCGATGGATGCGACTGCGAGGATAGCGAGGGTGCGGCGGGGAAGGAGGTAGGCGGAGATGGGAGCAAATGCGGACGACCCTTGACCCGGCACGCTGAAACCCGGAGGATATCTGACTCATGGCGCGTGAGTGCGTCCTATCCTACTGGCGCGACACGACATGCATATCCGCGAGTCCTGCTGTCGTTCTCCGAAACAGCAGAGCGAACTTTTCGACGCTCGTGCGACCTAAGGCTCGCG